CCTAGTGTCAGGAAGGGTGAGGGGTGTTTTGACAGTGGCACAGAGCTGGTCCCTACAGAATACAGGGCAGGCCCATCCTTAGGGCCATATGTAATAAATACCCCCAAATGAACATAAGAGAAAACAATTTTAAAATTCTCCCTGCCTTTGTCAGGGACCCATGGCTGAGGAGTTTCCACGACAGGAGACTTTTGGGACCCAGGAGAGTCTTGGGTAAACTGGGATGCCCTCGTCACCCTGAGCAACAAGGAAGTGGCCGAGTGCTCTTTGAATGATGAAGGAAGTCTTCTCAGTCACATGGAGGCCACCCACGGATCCCTGCACCAAGGCTTGTCTCTCTCCTTGTGCTGTCTACTCCAGACACATGTTCCCCAGCCTTTGTGCCTCTGTGACAGCTGCTTCCTGTCCATTCAGCCTTCCCCACTTCCTCCTTAAGTCCTCTCTCTCTCCATCCATGCCCATGTGGTAGAAGATGGAGACATCACGACAGACATTTCACAGGGTGAAATTAGACCAACCCGTTTCTAAGGCAGAATCTCCTTCAGAGATCCTGTCAACCAGCCCCTGTAAGCCAGGAGCTTTCCATGCACTGGTCAGGGCTGAGGCCTGAGGAAAGTTTTCTTGGCTTAAATGGCCAGCGCATCCCCTTTGGGAATGTGATGGTCTTTCCTCAGTAGCATCCCGTTAGCCTCTGAGTCTAGCAGGTCTCCTCGAGTTTCTTCTTTCTAAAATGATTTCCCTGGTATGAGCTGCAGACACAGTTGCCTAGAACCTGCAGTGTTGAGGGGATCCTGTAGCTTAGAGCCATAGGGATAACAGAGGGATCGAGAGAGACCAAGACTGAAAGGCAGGAGAGAGATAAAGAGAATCCCAAACTATTATCATTTGAATCCAAGGACACGGCAGATTGAATGCTGCCACATTCTGATTCATGAGCTTAAAGGCTATCATCTTTCTCTCTAACTTTTGTATTGCAGAAGTCACTTCCAGAAGTATTTCTAGAGAGCAAAGACGGCAGTGGGGATGGAGAAAGGACAAAGTACAATGACACATATGTGTGGAAATGCCATAGTCAAACGTATTACTTTGCTGTGGAAGGGTTGTTATCAAACTCTTACTCTGATGCAGGCCCCACAGGCTACACTACTGACCTGGCAAGGCAAGAAGTGCCTACTGTGTGATCGTGGCATGACTGTTATAGGGGTAGCCAACCACCTTCTACTTGGAATTGAGGACTGCTCCACTAGAGGGAGATGGGGTTTAGTGCTGTAAACGTAGTCAAAAGCCCATGTCATAGACCATCTGGAGGCAGCTACAAGCTACTGCTATCATTTTGCTAAATGGATATTATGTGTCAACACACGTGCCTTCTAAATATTTATGTAAATGCCCATAGGAGAAGCTTTTTGTTGCTATCAGTAGCAATAATTGCAAAGAGAATAGGTGTTGAATGTTTGGCCCTCAGTGAACCATGTTTATCACTTCCTCTAAGGCTCATGTAGGGTAGAAAGAATGTAAACGCCAAAGGAGGAGTGGAGGGCTGTGGAATGCAATCTCTTCTGGGCATGGCATGGCTGTGGCATTCTTGAACTCCCAGCACCTATGATTATCTGCACAAGACTGGGCTTTTCAATATTTTGTCAAAGAGGAGGAAAGGGCTCACACAGTCCCACTCTTCCCCAAGGATCTATTGGCAGTTGACATTTGTTGAGGGAGAAAGTGTAAGTGATGTAGCCACTGGCAAGTTGCCTATGCTCCTGGAAATAACCTCTCACCCATGCTTCTAGAAGTGACCACGAAACTCACCAGGGCACCAACAAATACAAATAAAAGGTGTGAAAGGAGGAAAGTGACCAGCTGGTAGTGGAACCCAGTGAGAACTGGGTAGTACAATGGAGGTCAATTACAATCAAAATCCATTACAGACAGAAGAGTCATTTCTGCCGATGTTCATAACTAAGCATCCTGCTATTGTTACAACCACACTACTATCTTCTCATCCAGGAGCCTCCTCCCGCACACAGCTCAGCTTTGTCCCCTCTACCACATGGCACCCTCTCTGCCCTTAACTTCCTTTTCTGCAGCACCCAGCCTGATTTAATGCATCAGAGAGCTCTTAACATCAAATAATCTCAAGATACCCCACACTCTTGTCTGACAGGTCAATGCTAAGATACTCTGGGTTGTTGATGTCTCTGAGCAGAGGGTGTGATGGCCTGCCATTCACCTGCCTAACATTTCTGTTAGCTCACTGCTGTCCAGGAAGTGTCCCAAAAGATGGGGCCCTGTCCCTGCAGTACTGTGGACTTTAGACAGCAGGCAGTGTTCCAACACACTGAAGCTCTTACAATTTGGATCCTGAATGCCCTCCAAGGGCCACATGTTGAAGGCTTGGTGCCCAGTCTGTGGTACAGCTGGGAAGAGTGGGGCACTTAGGAAGTGGGGCCTTGTAGGAAGAAGTTAAGTCATTAGAGCTGTGACCTTGAAGGGAATTCTGTGGCCCCAGGCCTTTCCTTACTCCCTTTGCTTCTTGGTGGCCAGAATATGAACAGGTCTCCTCCACTGTTCACTCCCACATAATAGACTGTGTGCTGACACACATATCCAAAGCCCAGGGTCAAGCAACCATACCCTGAGCCCTCTGACACCTAGTCAAAATATCCTTTCTGATTAGTAAGGTGATTATCTCAGGTATTTTGTTACGGTGACAGGAAGCTAACACACAATCTGTAATGGCCTCATCACTGCCAACATAACATGCTTCTTTTGATTCTCTTACAAGCCCTCTGATTTACATCACAAAACACCGGCTTGTTTCCCCTGGACTTGTTTCTATGGGCACCTTCTATCTAAGCAAGCAGTCCTGGTTTCTTGTGTATGACTTCTACAAAGCAGTCTATGGAAACAGGGGTGAATGTACACAGGAAAACTCAGGCAGATGAGGGGTGATGCTTGGACGTGGGGAAACTGATGAGCCATGATTCTCGGGAAGGCTTGCTCACCCAAGCCTTGGAGGCCCACAGACCCAGAAGATCTGTCCCATGGCCTTTTAAACCCTGCTGTGATTTGGGTGTCATTTGCCCCAGTAAAACTCACGTTAAGACTTACTTGGTTGGCTGCCAACACAGTGATACGTGAAAGTGGTGCCTTAAAGGGGGATTAATGTCATTCTTAAGACACCAGATGGATTCTCTTGGGAATGGGTAAGCCCCAAGAGAAGCTTGTTCTGCTCACATCTGCACATTCCTGCCTGTCCTTTAGTCCACCATGTCATGAAACAGCAGGAGGCTCTTCTCTTACCAGACGCTGCTCCAGCTTTAGGTATTCCCGACAACATAAAGCTTTTCTCTTTATAAACCACCAGGCCTCAGGTACTGTTTTATAGTAACAGAAAATGGATGAAGACACCCCCACTGAAGGACTGTGGTACTCAAGATGGGTCTCACACAGTCCTATCTCCCAGACTTTGCCCAGCCTTTGTCCATGCTGTAGTCCAGTTGGATGTCTTCTCCACACAACCTCCCTATCAGCCCAGGACAGTCCCATTTATCTTACCGACCAGGTTCTGCATGAATGTGGATCATGTGCCAATAATTTATTCACTTCCCCAGCCAGTACTTACAAAAAACCACAGCCCCCACCCCAGGTTGAAGACAGTAGGAAGGCTAATTTGAATTTTAGGGGTGGAATCTTGCCTAACCACTTGGGAATTTCCAGTGTCCCTGGCAAACGATTTCCATATTCTCATAGGCCACCCCGTGGGTTGCTGATATGATGCCCTCTGTAGAGTTGGGTGATCACAAAAAGACAAGACAATCCTCCCCTGTGTCCAGTGCAGGTAGCAACACAAGGAGTTTAAGGGATCCTGGCTGAATGTGTGAAGCTATTAGATCCCAGCACTCTGGGGACCAGAGACTGGGTGGAGAGGATGTCTTCGGAAAAGAATGTGACATCTCCAAGGACAGGTACTGAAGGCCAGCCCTTAGAACAGGCAGATGGGGTCTCTCAGGATGGGCAAGTCAGAGAGCATCAGGCCAGAGCAGAGGGCCTGATGGGATTCGGTTCTCACTCAAACCTGCAGCTGAGTGACTTCAGATCATGCTAAGCCCCGCCCCAAAGGCTCTGACTCATAGATGTAAAGTCAGCTAGAGAGGCTGTAAATAGGTTATTTGGGGTTACACTCCTAGAAGCATGAGGTTGCAGGGTACCCATAAAAAGGAAGGAATCTATACAAACTGCAAAGATGACCCTGAACACTGTATTGCCAACTAGGTACCAAAAGGCTGGACACACAGCCTGGCAGGGATGGAACCTCATCAGGGTTATTTAAAGCACACCCACGCCTAATTCAGTGGAAATATGACATGATCATAGACATGCTACAGGGCAAACCTGAGGGGCCCATCTACAGCTCAGAATCTCCTCTAGAGAGCTCAGGAACCACTGCTTGAAGCAGGAAACTTGACTGTGCAGAAGTCGGGACTGAGGCCATTTCTGGCTGAAGAAGTGCTCCTTTGTTTGCTTGACCCAGCAATTGAATTGTTCAGAGATGCAGTCACCCAGGGAGGAGGCGAGCCCAAGAGGCTCCCAGATCTTTGCCTTTGGTGCTAGCCTAACTGCCTCCTTAAACAGGCATCAGATTTGAAAAATTAAAACTGTATGGCTGGGGTACTTAAGATCATACCCAGCAGCTGACCCCTTTAAAGATCTGGCCTTCGGAACATTCCAGGCTGGGTCACTTATCAAATGGAGATTGACTTTTATCCGATTAACCGATGGAGAAGCATCCTTCTCCATCTCACAGGAGCATTCTGGGGGAGCATCTTTCTGCAGACTGCAGGGGAAAGTTGGGCCTTGGCTTCCCTCCCGCTCGGCCAGTGGAAAATTACAAAGAAGACAGAGCTGTCCTCCATCTCATCTCGTTCATCAGCTCTTCCCAGGCACAGAAAAACATATAGAGTACCCCCTCCCAAAAAAACAATGAATGAGCCTTCACTTACCTGGAGCGGAGAGTAGTCTGGGAGGTGGTGGAGGTGGAGGCGGAGGGGGTAGAGGGGGTGGGGGCCGGCACTGGCAGATGTGTTGGCAGCTGTCAGTCACCTTAGAACAAGACTTCTGGGGCTCAGCATGCGTCACCTGCAGATACGGACACAGCCAGGAGACATGGGAGGCCAGGAGGCAGCAGGAAGCTGGACTGAGCCTGCCCCAAGTCCATTCTAGGCCACAACTTGGGATTCTTCATTAAGACCAAAGCAGGCAGAATAGACAGGAGTCAAAGGGTTTATACCCAGAGAGTGGCAGCTAGAA